AAAAAAAAAAAGGCTGTGTGTATGTGTTTGTGTGTGAAAACAGCACTCCAAGCCTTTCTATGAAGTAAAACTCCTTGAATTACTTCCAAAACAAAAGGCAATTCAAACTCAGAAGAAACTAGCCATATCCTTATAAAATTGAACATCTTATGTAAGAAGAAGATCTCATCTTCTGCTTGGGTCTGTTTGACATGGGTACAGAAGTGAGCCAAGCTGGGTCAGGGATACCCACCACCAGAGATAATTAGGCATGAGTAGTGCATGATGGATAACCTCACAGTGGAGTTTGTACTGAATACGTAAGGGCTGGCACACAAGTTCCCACAAGTGCTCCTGATGGGGTATTGTTATAGGCACGTCTTGTTCTCTGTGCTTGTCTCCTTCCATTGCCTGATCAAACAAGACATGGAAAGCAGCAAGGCAGCAGCTGCCCTTGCTTGGGGCTGTTTGCAGACCACAGCAATCTTGTGTCCTAGGCACATGTATGCTATAGTAAAGAGCCTGGTGCATTTGTGTTAAAAACCAATCAAACAAATCAGTATTAATTTGGCTAAATAAAGAACATCGCTAATGCACATGCTGACATCTGAACTACCCCTTCTAGTCTTCCACAGTGGCCTTAGTAGAGATAAATGACTGCTTCTTACAAGAAAATCATCTCATCACAATGCAGATGTCTGAAAGTGGTCAAAGGAATTGTGCCATAAAAATTCCTGTTTCTCTTCCTGGCTTACCAAGGCAGTTCAGGGTGTCTGACTCCAACGTGGTGACCTATACCGCAAAGGCCTAAATTTAGCTGCACCACCATAAGTAATCAAAAGCATATATAATAAATATAAAAAAAAAAGATACAAAAGATGTAAACAGGCTGAACAGAATACTAGATAGTAGAATTACCATTTCAAACACACTTAAGCATTTGGCTAAGTATTTAAAACTCAGGGCTTCTGGTTCTCCACGTAAATTAGCAAGAAGACTACTAATGCACTCTACAGGAGCTGGACCAGCCTGTAATTAATTATTCCCCCTCTAAAAGACAGCAGTCCATCAGCCCACCAAAGGCAGGCTGGCTCAGCAAGAAATGATGGAGCACCACTTAGAAGCGTATTTTTTCTCCAATGAACAAATGTGATAGGATGATCTGTGTCCTTCCCCTCATATTACTATGATAGATACCCATTTTTGTGGGACGATTAAAAATTGATTGAAAGTCCCTCATCACTTTCCTCTTTCTTTTTAATAGAGTAGAATTATGTACCCAGACAGGTGTTTTTCTGCTAGAGGTCAGATCTCCAGTCACTGGCTTTCCATGGCATTAAAGTGATCAGCATTCATGTCATGGTGTGTCATTAGGGTCTCTGTCCTACAGATTTCATAGAATAAAACAATCTTGTAGTTTTACACTGTAATCCTCTTTGTCACTTTAAGTTATTGTCATGATGAGCTGCTGCTTTACTGTTGGAAAGAAATAGCACCACGTGATAATGATTATAAAATGTGATGTTTGCACATTAATCTTTTGGCTATCATCTCCGCCCTCCCTTACATTTGAAGGGTTAATAAATTGGTTGTAAATATTTTTATTTTTTTTCCAGAGTGGAACTTGTCACAAAAGATGCAGAGTTAAATATTTGCACAGAAGAAATATGAAAACAGGGAGCTAGCTAGTTTGAGGACCACTCCCATCACCCTTCTTTGACTCAAACCCCACATTTTAGCTAAATGATTAATAATTTCTGAATAATGAACTGTTTCATCTCCTGAAATTTTAATTTCAGGATGCAAAACAAAAATACACCTGTGCTTTTTCTAAGAGCTTAGCAGTATACTTGTTTGTGTATATGTGAATACATATATGTATATGAAATTCATATGAGCCATCAGAAATGTAAAATTATAAATGGTTTTAAATCTGGAAAATAATAATTTCTCAAAAATTATGCCAAATCTCATCTCTTGGTTATATAGGTCACATTAAATTTGGTCTTTCAAAGAGCTCCTGAAGTTTAGAGGAATCATTAGAGAGTTATTGAGTGTCATTGAAGGTGACCTTTGGGTACTCAGCACTTCAAGCATCTTATCCGTGCATGGATTGAGAGAATCCACTCTTGCAGCAACTCTTTCTATAGATCACAAAACTGGAGTAAAGTATTTCATTGTTATTAAGTTAATGCCCAGCTGCTAATTCTGTACCCATCTTCTTCCACTGAGGATATAGTTTTAGCTTCCCAAACAGGCCATCCTTTTTCTGATGATGAACAATAAATATGAAAGTATTTTGTTGTTTCTCTGTGTTCATTAAAGTGGATGTTAAACTTGAGCTCCAAAGAAAAAGCAAATGAGGAAGGTAGTAGACTAATAGATGTCATATATCCTAAAAGAGCTCTTCTTTTTCCTGGTCAGTTTGCCTACTTAAAGGAGATTTGCATTATTTCCAGATATGAATAACCATTCCTGTCAGAAGGATATCTGCAACATACCAGTGCAACAGTTGCCTGGAGTCCTCTACTCTCAAGGAGAAATACAAAGCACCTTCAGGCAGAGATTCTGTAGTGGTTTCACACTGATGGCCAACGAAACTCCATCACATCACCCTCTCACTTCCCCTCCTCACAGGAACAAGGGGAGGAAGGAAGGAGAACAAGGAGAGAAAAGAAAAAACAAACAAACAAACAAACAAAAAAAAAACAACACTTCACAGGTTGAGCTAAGGACAGTATGATTGCCCATCCAATTACCATGACAGGCAAAACAGATTCACAGAAGGGAGATTAACAAAACTTATTGTCTACTTACTATCAGACAAGACCAATGAGAAACTAAAAGCAAACTAAAACCACCTGCCCTCCATCCACTCTCTTCTACCTTATCCCCCTAAGTAGTGAAGGAAAATGGGGCCTGCAGTCATCCCACAACACTTTGTCTCCACCTGCTCCACCAGGGGCCTCTCCACAGGCTGCAGCGAAACACTGGCTCTGGCACCTGGAGCACCTCTTGCTGCACTGACCTTGGGGAACTGCTGGGGGCTTGTTCCCTCACATGTTCTCACCCCTCTCTCTCAGCTGCTGTTGAATGTTGTTGTTTCCCTTCCTTAACTCCACTCTTCCAGAGGCCCTACCCAGCATCGGTCCCTGGCTCAGCTCTGGCCAGCTGGCAGGTCCCTTTTGGAGCCGGCTCTGCTCTGACATGGGGCAGCTGCAGGACTCTGCTCACAGAGGCCACCTCTGCAGTCCCCTTGCTACCAAATCTTTGCCATGTAAACCCAATACAGATTCCTTTAAGTTATTTACAACATTTCCTACTAGGATATTAAAAATCACCCAATGAGTGTCTTTTTTTTTTTTTTCCTAAGGTCAAATGAGTCTGAGGGGTAACCTCAGCTGGAAACATTTTACAAACTCTTAAAAATGCAATTCATATTGCACATTAGCAGCTTATCTATCCTCTGAACACACAACTAGAATAACTGAGGTGTGCAGAGAAATGCAGCACCTTGCAGCCTGCTCTGGAGGGGACCAACCTCAGAGTCCCATGTACCTAGTGACAAATTCCCCAAATACGTCCCTCAGTGCTATTATCCTGTCAGTAACTCTTCCTTTATGCCAGTGAAAGCTCCCTTGATGTGTATTTGCTATTTACAACTACATCTGAGTATTATTAGCAAGATGATGGTTTCTTGTATAAGTTGCTTGTGGGTCATATCAGGATTTCTGAATTTGTGCAGAAACTAGTTATGTGACACAGCTGGAAGTGTTAAAATTCAACTTTTCTGCCTCTCACTATCTCCTATATAACACAACCTTCATTTGTTGTATAGTGCATGAGGCATCACATTGTGAAAATAAGTAAAAAAACACTGGCCCAAAATAATGGAATATAGTGTTCTTCACACCAAGAGTAGCAGGACATAGGTTCTGTTTTGGTTCCCTGTTGAGTGAGAGAGACAGAAAGATGTGTGTGCCCATGCCTTGGTCTTACATGGAAAGGTTTGGGTAGCAGTGGGGACTGCAGGGGTGGCCTCTGTGAGCAGAGCCCAGCAGCTGCCCAATGTCAGATCAGAGCCAGCTCCAGCCAGCTCCAAAAGGGACCTGCTGATGGCCAGAGTCTAGCCAGGGGGTTATGCTGGTTGGGCCTCTGGGAGAGCAGATTTAGGAAAGAGAAACAATGCCATGCAACAGCAGCTGGGAGAGAGGAGACAGAACATGTGAGAGAAGCAGCCCTGCAGCCCCCAGGTGAGTGCAGCAGGAGGGCAGGAGGTGCTCCAGGCAGGCAGCAGCAGTTCCCCTGTGGCCTGTGGAGAGGCCCCTGGTGGAGCAGGCTGTCCCCCTGCAGCCCATGGGTCCCACATGGAGCAGATCTCCACGCTGCAGCCCCCCCATGGGTGGAGGAGCCCCCGGTGGAGCAGGTGGATGTGGCCTGGAGGAGGCTGCGGCCCATGGAGAGCCCCCGCAGGAGCAGGGGGTCTGGGGGGAGCTGCCCCCACCCGTGGGGGACCCGTGCTGGAGCAGTTTGCTCCTGGGGGATGGATGGATGGACCCCATGGGACGGAGCCGTGTGGGAGCAGTGCTTGAAGAGCTGCTGCCTGTGGGCAGCCCCCGCAGGCTCAGCTGGGGAAGGACGGCATCCCGTGGGAGGGACCCCATGGGGAGCAGGGGCAGGGAGGGACCCTGAGGGAGTGGCGGAGACAAAATGCTAGAGACTGACCACAGACCCTGCTGCCTGTTCTCCTCTGCTCCTTGGGGAGGAGGAGGTGGAAGAGGGTGGGTGGGGTAACCTTTTTTTTAGTTCGCTTTTAGTTTCTCACTGCTCTAATCTGCTAGTGATAGGAAATAAATTATATTAATCTCCCTATGCTGAGTCTGTTTTGCCCATGATGACAACTGATGAGTGATCTCCCTGTCCTTATCTCAACCCTTGAGCCCTTTTCATCACATTTTCTCCCCCTTTCTCTTTAAGGAGGGGAGAGAGAGCAAGCATTTGTGGTAAAGTTCAGCTGCGTAGCAGGGTAAAACCATCACAGACCACTAGACCTTTGGGTTTCGATCTTTTCTGACTCTCCAATGTTTGTTACTGCGACCCAGGAGTCTCCAATTGCTCCCAGTTTTAGGACCCCCACCCAAAACACTTGATTCAAATGTCCGAGTGGGCAGAGCACCAGCAACATGAGGAGTGAATGCTGACTGACTCACCACCCAGTCAACAAGCCACTGGGAGTACATTTCCTTAGGCAGCCCTTTCTCACAGGTTGGAGACTTTACTCATTTCACAACAAGCAAATATCTAAGCTAGAGAAGACTAAAGCATATGGTGAAATCTCATGCTTTTGGTGAGATAAAAGACACCCTAATATGAAGGGCAGCTATCTACATTGGACATATGCAGAATGGATTTAAAAGCTATCATGAAGAACAACGGTTCACCTAGAAAGTTGAACTACTTATTAAATCTTGGATATATAGAAAATTATGTGGAACACATTGATGCCAGTGGCTAGAGGCTGCTCAGAGATACAGCAATGCACCCTTATTTATTTCAGTGCAGGAGTCATGGTAAAACTGGAAGCAGAAGGTGAGTCTTAAGGCTTTTTAAGAATTGACTCTGGTCCTGAGATGAAGAGTTACCTTATCTCCGATGTCAGCACTGTTGGGGGAAGGAAAGCAAACAGGGATGGAGGAGAGGAAAGAGCACAAAAAAGTGAATGTGGAAGGAATGCAAGTAGATAAAGCAGTAACAGAGGCCAGACCCCTTTACTTTCTCTCTCACATCAAAGTACATAGTTAAAAGAATGACTGTGTGGACTGATACAGGCAAGGAAAACCCGGGAGTGTGTGGGGGGGTGGGGGTCCACTGAAGCAGAGAACTTGTTTTGCAGGCTGAATACAGAGCAAAGGTGGAGAGCAGTAGCTGTAAATGTCATGCTGTAACTCACAAAGAGGTAAGGGAGTGGGACACTCGAGTCCTAGAGGACGCGTTCAGTTTCTGCTTTTCTTTCTGTTTTGGAGTGTACCAGTGGCAACTCTATATTGAAAGTGCTGCAGTGCACCTATCCCTTGAGCAAGCTTTGTTTGGATTTTCATAAAAATGAGCTAATACTTTATATGAAATACAGCTCATGCAAGTAGCACATTGCTTCCTCACTCCATGCTAAAACATCACATCAGTCCAACACTGGAGGGGAATCATATTTGCTGTTGAATCCACATCACTACTTCCTGCATTATTTTGGATTTTCAAAAGAGGTTTCAGAGCCAAATATAAAAGCAGCTCAGTTCAGCTTACTTCATAAATCCGATGAGGTCACAACTTGAGAAAGCACAACAGCTGGCTCCACTGCTAAATAACACGTGCTGGTCTTGGGGCTGAATTATTAAGCTTTTGCTTTGGTGTGACATCCTTCAGGGTAATTGACATCCTTCAGGGTAATGCACTCATCATTTTATCCAAGCTGCTGCACGGGGGCAGTGCTACATGCATGCTTGCCAGCCTCTTTCAAGTCTTGTTGATTGACTATTGTCTGCAAACCAAGCAGAAGGCAGAGTGCTGATTAACCGAAAGACTTTTAATTGCCACTTCTCTTGAAGTTTTTAGCAGCAAGGACAGAGATGGAGGTTTCACAGTGACCCCTTTTCAGACCTAATTGGAAAAGCTGATGGAGTGAAGCCGGATGAATGCTTTGGATTGCTCCTATTTAACGACTTGAGGGCCTCCATAATAAGGCACAGGGCTCAAGCTCTCATTCTCTGCTGGAGATATAGGAACTGAAAAACAGGCCTGTTGGCTCTTCTTTTTGTGTTAAACAGATAGCAGACTAACTCTTTTGGAACTTTCCATACCTTTCAACATGAATCTGAATTTCGTGATGCTTTTGTCAGTGTATTCAAGGTGGAAAGAGAGATTTCAGCTATTGCATTTCAAATTCAGATATGCATGTTCATGTAGCCTCAGGCCAAAGACTGCAAAGAATCTGCAAAGTGGTGAATAGGAGATGGAATCTGTGCTCTCTGGTAAAACAGCTCTGTTTTCTTCTTTTGCTCTTTGTTTTTTATTTAACAAGGCATGAACATTGCCTCTCACTGCAACTGCACACTAGAGAGCAGGCTGCTGAGCTTTGAAACGTAAATGCCGTTCCTTTCTTTGCTCCCTGGAGTTTTCTCATTTCTATTTATTTTCATTAGCAGAAATAAAAACAAATTAAAGCATGCAACACCCAATAGAGTAGGACTGTGGCAAGCACAACTGCTAGCACCTGGAGCATTTTATTACTCCGGTGGTATCCCCACATTTGAACAAAGCCCAGCTGCCTGAGAACTGTTGGAGGCTGAAAATCCAGTTGTGTGTTTTTTGTTTGTTTTTTTTTTCCCCCATCATACAGTTGTATGAGGTTCTTGATCTCACAGCTCCATTTCTGTTTTATCCCCAAAGCCAAATTACCAGTGCCGCAGAGGTCAGTTTGCTTGAATGCTCATGGTCAGGTGTGTAGCTGGTTCAGCTTGCTTTCTCTGTTTCCTTTAATTTTAGTATGCTGGCCACTAAAATGGCCCATTATATTTTAGTACTAGTATCATACTAAGAACATAGTACACACTGTTTCCCTCTTCTGCAACCTTCATACTCACCAGTACGAATGTGTTTTCACTCCTTAGTCCCATTTTCACAGCAAGTTTATTTCCTCTTCCTTGCTAAATCAGTTCAATTTTTCATTTATCTCTTTAAAGAGCTTCTGAAAACAAAGGGCATACCTTCAGTCACACAAATGGTCCTGGTCTTTCCATGTGTCAGTCCAACTTTTGCTGCTTTCATTACATTTTTGCTTATATTTATGCAAGTCTTCCAGAGAGGAAATTTAAGACACAGTAATAACAAAGCCAAGTGTTCTGGGTCTTCACTGTGATGTGAGCGGAACTGTGCCTGAACTATGTCAATCACCTGAAAATGAACTCCATAGCATTCAAATATGGGTCTACAAAAACATGGAGATTATTTTTAAAGCATCCAATTTACTGTTCCTGTCTAGTAGGATGGCAATGTATTAGATGAATAACTGGAGAAAGGGAATAGATTGTAGGAAGTAAGAATAAAAAAGATCTGTGTTTTTTCTTTCAAATTGTTATTTTTTTTCCCCCAAGAAGAAACAACCTATTCTCAAAAATAAAAATGAAACAAAACTTGAAAAATTCCAGCAATTGAGAAAGACAATTTGCTTTTACTATTGAAAATAAGAATATCAATAATGTCATAATCTAACATTTTATAGTATAAGGAAAAAATATATATTTTACAAAGCTTGTTTAAAACACTGTTCACTTTCAAAAAAATAAAATTAAAATGACTGAAGGAGATCAATTTTAAATTAAAAGACTCTCCAGCCTAGCTCTGAGCAGTTTTAACCTACAATGCCTCCCATTTTTCATAGCCTAGCTGAAGTATATTTTCTTGCAAGCAGCCAGTCCCACCGTGAGACATTCACCGTGGTGGTTTGCTCCCCTGAGAGGTAAGATACCTCTGACATTTCTGCAGCTATCCTAAGTGTTGCAAGCTATAGAAGCAAGGTAAAACCACAAGCGTATGCCCTTACTCCAGAGCTACTGCTGCTGCATATTTTGTCACTTGGTCGTGGGTTGAAGTCCTGTGGTAACTCCAGCTGCAGCATGCTGCTAGATTGCTTAGGAAACTAATGGGGTTTGATTCCCTCTGCAGAGGCCCCCATGGCAGAAAGCAGATAATACGCCTAGGTTTTTGCCTGCCTGCTAGCAAGCCTACAGCAGTACAGAGCAAACATTTTTCTAGATGCTTGCACTTGCTGCATAGCTACCACCTGCCAGTATTTACTAATGGACCAGGCACATGTGACGATCCCCTCCTGCATTACGCCAAGTTCAGGCACAGATGTGTTTTTTTTTTTTTTGGAAGTAGGAAAAATTTTAAGCCATCGTGTATAGTTCTGTGTCTTCCCCTTGCCATGCTGCCAGTTTTCATCCTCAGTTTTGTTTTCTGTGGGGCTTCTTCCCAATGTCTTTTCTTGTTAATTAGGGTGGCATTGTGCCAATAAAAGGTTTTGGCTATTACTAAGAGCTCCTGAGACAGCTTTTGTAGAAAGTTGATACAATTTCTTTTGCCCCCCGGGAATGCACAGTCCTAAAACTGGATTGAATCTTAATACCCCTGAATCAACTAGGTCAGCATATTCTTCAAATCATTTCCCTGCTTCTAAAATACACAAAAGATACCAAACAGATTTACATTCAGTGAGGACATGATTACATGTTGATCTGGGTGCTTCTGCTCCCAGACAGGAGTTCCCTCTCCTTGACCTCTTTCTGCAAAGCAGTGAGCAGTTTGTGTGATCTAACAGCTCTTCCTTCACATCCCAGTTTCATTTTTATTACTATTACTGTTATTTTCTTTTAGAATTAAAGAATATAGACCTAGCAGGACATTTTAGCTGTCTTTGGGTTAATGACGGGTTACCTGAATGCACATTCATTGATTCTACATGTAAGCTTCATAATAACAGAGAGGGGTTTAGGCACCAAACGGTTTCTATTTCAGTCTGGAACATTTACTGTTAGAAAAAAAGAGCACAAAATATTACCAGTCTGCTTACCCACATCTTCTCAAGTGTCTATGAGCTGAAGTTTGGCGGAAGTCAGTGTAGGTGAAAGAGCCATCTGCCAAGTCTGTGACAAAAATATAATCTGGCGCAAAAGAAGAGAGAAAATCTGAGGATTTTTATTGTTTTTGTTTTTTCTTTATCCCCAAGGAATTTTTAAATTTTCTTCACTCTGGAATAAAATGACATATAGAGAAAAAAGACCAAAGAAGACAAGCCCACAGCAAAAATCTTGAATGTATCATTCATAGATATTCTGTCAACTGAAAAAAAAAAAAACAAAACAAAACAAAAATAGCCTAATTAACACATTCTATAGACTATAGAAAGACAAAGAATAAAACAAACTTAGTTTGAAACAGAAAGGTTGAAACTTCCCATATTGAAGAAGTTGACCAGAATTGCCAAATCTCTTTAAAGTGTGTTTTTTTTTTTTTTCTCTCGTTAACTTTCAAAACAAATTTCTCTGAATTGCCAAATCTTCATGAAGTGCATCAGTTTTGACAAACCAGCAACTTTAGTCAGAGTCATTCAGCCAGAACATTTCCAGTTCTGTGTCGAATCTTGCCCTGAAAGTCTGGTTCTACTAAGACAAGCAAATATGAGCAGGGATGGCTTCTGATCACCAGCAGTGGACTCTCAGATGGTGGATAACCAGCTCCCAGCATCCTCACAGTGCCGGGCAGCAGCACTGCCTCCCCACCTGATGCTGGCACACACTACTTGCACACCCTGGGCACCACTCAGGTGATTAGGAGCAGATGGAGAGAATTTTTGTTATATCAATCACAAAAGCAGACTTTCACGTGAGCATCCTCACTTTCACACTGTTTTAAAAGGAAATTTCATTCATGCCATTCCTCAGCAGTTGGTTGAAACTCCACCTACTAACACGGAGCAGGATCGGTTTTACAGCTAATAGGCGCAGGCGCCTGGGGCAGACACATGATCCCATCAAGGGATACAAAAGAAAATCCTGAAGTGATGGCTGCCACATTTTTTATCACGTCAGTGTTTTGCATCTTGACAATGAAGGCAGTAGGGTAGAATCTCCTTTCAAATTTTGTGAGTAAATTGCTTTCTTGTAATAACTGGATTTTCCACTGACAGATGGCAGCTACAAGCTGTCAATCATTTTAAATTCAAAGGATAGATGAAGCACAACAAATGTATTGTTATTGCCTGCTAGGCTGGAAGTGTGGCCAAGCTGGTGTACGGTTCCTTTTGTATTATGCTGGGTTCATAGATTTCACAAGTATAATCCTTCTGCCAGGCACTGACTGGAAGGAAAGAAAGGCCACATGCAATTTCTTACGGTCTTCATTAAAAACACAAACATCATCAGACTCAGATCCAGCCAGAGGAAGAAAACAAGCCTGGACACAAAACGAGCAATGTTCCTTCCCCTGCAAACAGGCATTTAAGCAGATGGACCTAAGCAAACAGAATTTTGTTGGAGGTGGACAAAAAGGAAAATAAAATTATTCCTTTTTTCAAAAACTCACATGATCTCCAGAACCAGAGCTGGTGCCTTGCAGAGTACTTGAGCTCTGACTGCCTCCCTCCTCCTGATCCCAGGACTGCCTGTGCTGCTTTCCACCTGTGTGCTGGACCTAGCAGGTCAAGAGAAGCCCAGCATTTACTGCCCAGTGTACTCCAGCTCCATGCCACACCAGTCCCTTGCTCATGGCTAAGGCTCACTGGAGGCCTCCAGCTCCCACACGGGGCTGCCACTGGCTGCTCCAGCTCTTCCCATCCATCACCAGCTGCTCACCTGGCTGCACCACCCTGCAGCCTTTGCTCCCTGCTGGCCTTGGGGTCTCTGGTGACTGTTGTCCCCTGCTAAACCCGGTCTGTCAGGACGTGTCCTAGCACACCCTGAGATGCTTCTGCTATTTGGAGAAGCTGTATGGAGCTCATGGGAATGCAGCCCTAGAGAAAAATGTCCTCTGAAAGGATGGTCTTCTTCCCGTTCAATAAACAAACAAACAAACAAATAAATAAATAATAAAAACAAAAAAAGCATAAAAATAGGGAGGGGGAGGGAACACAAACCTGCCCAATATTTGCTTACCTTACATTTCTTCATCGCAAGCTAGCCTTGAGTTCTACTGGTTCATTTATGTGCCATGTGACAGCTTACAAACGCCTGTTTTTCTCAGCTCTGTAACACAATGCCTGGCTTTAGCAGAAATGTCATTATTTCAAAATGCAAATGCAAATTAAACCTATTTGGACCTGATCATTTCTCAGCTTTAATCAACTATTGCACTTCTAAAACAAAGACCAGGTATTTTTGCCCTTCTTGAAGCCTCCTGGAAAAGGCTGCTTTTCTCCCTGAAGCATTAGGGAGCATTTATTTTTGTTATTATGTGAGAAAATAGGAACAGCCAGCCTGAAACCAGTACATCTGTAAGAGTGAAACAAACACACATTAGAAGCATGTAGTGCAACTGTGATTTGGGCTGCAGTGGCTCCTGGCTGACTCCATGCAATGAGAGCAGAGCTGCTCCTGATCTGCAAGCATGTGGCAGAGAGATGGTGGGACAACACTGAAAAAGGACCATCGTAATGAAAGTTGCATTGTGTTTTGCTCTGTGCAGAAATGCTGATTAGCTTGAGCCAGGGTAGCAGTCTTATTTTGGTAAATTTGTGGAACAATGCTCAAACTACCTTTCTGTCATCTTTTCAGACCAAAAGTGATCATATTTGAAGGAGAAATGCAGGTTTGTTTTTCCAGTGAAAGCTGAAAGCACTGAATGACAATTGAAATTCAGGTAATTTTCCCCACAAGAAACATAGAATAAAACTAAAAGTTTAACTTCTGAGTTACAGAGCACCCCTTAATGTGGAGCAATAGTTGATAAAGATGACTAGGTAAGGAAGCTTGATAGAAATAGGGAAGACTGGAATAAGACTCCACTGTGACTACATCCTTCATAACATTGGCAATGTCATCCTGTTAGTTGAGTATCGTTTTAGAAAAGGTGACTATTGTTCACTACAACTCAGTGAATTGTGACATTGCTGAGCCATTCATACCATGCATTGGTGCAGGACATTGTGTTAAAAGTATTTTGGGCTGGGCAACATAGAAGAAAGCTTTCAATTTATGGTGGCTTTGCTATGGGTCTGTAGCAAGGTGGAGCCCCTGTATGAACAAGAGAGCTTGTTCCTTACCCACAAGCAGCTCCATGTGGATCTCAGTCTGAAGATGCTTCACAGATGCCAAATTGCACAGATGCAGACAAGAAGCAGGTGAAGTTTAGAAGATTAAGCTGAAGCAGAGGTCTTCTGAATCTCTTTTGGCTTGTTGGGGTCCTGTCATTACAAGTCTTAGGAAACTGCAGATACATCTTAGTCTTCCAATTAATGCTTGTCAGTGTTAAAAAGGCCATGCCATACATATGATTTTTAATTTTTGTCTTCCTCAGCTCAACAACAGAAGGCATCTTATTTTATGGCCTGATAACATCTTACAAGAACGTGCATTGGTGGCACAGATCTAATTGTGTAAAACATAAAAGGTCTCAAAGGCAGAGCAACAGAAGCCACATGGGTACACTTATTCCTCCATGCCTCTAATCTTCCACTCTGTGCCTTCTGACAAACCCAAAATTAACATAGTACACTTCATCCTTTAACTTCAAGTGCTTCTGCTGCAGTAACAGACTAAGAAGCAAATGTATAATCTTTTTGTTGCAGCAGGACTGACATTCAGTTCCATTCAGAGGACAAATTGGAGAACAAATCTTCAAGCTGCATCAGAAGTTTCCCTTATGTTCTCAAATCTGTGCAGTCTTCTTGGCTGGAGGTGTGTGTCCTGGCTTCATCAGATGGCCTGTGTGGTACACTTTTTTTCTTTCCTAGAAGATCTCAGTTTGGGAGTTTGAGGCTTACATGACAGTTTTGATACATGTGACATTTCTGAATCAGTGGTTAAAACCCAGAATTTTAGGCTAACTTCATGGAAACAAATGTACCTGGCTGCTCTGAATGTCACAAAAGTTTCTTATAACAGATGACATGTCATTAGATGAAAGAAACCAAATGGAAACCTTGGTGTGCAGGAAACAAGTTAGGCACCTGCTTTGAGAATATTTCCCATAAAATAATTGATTTCTTTCCTATTTCCTTATCTGCCAGGTCCTGAGCTGTAGAAGTGTGTCAATAGTCAGATGATGCCTCCTTAAAATCTTTTGGTAGACTTTGGATGCAACAGATGGTGTGTCTCAGTTTATCAGTGAGCTTTTTTTTTTTTCTTTTTAATTCTTTTCTCCATAACTTGTCCTTGTGAGACTGAATTCTCTGCCGTGCTGGCACTCAAGGCCAAGTACCATCAGCCTCTGAAAACAGCCTGCAACCAAAGGCTTCCCTCACCCTTGCTGAGACATGGGATAAAACAACAGGTACATCTATCACACTGAAAGATAAAGATTTCTTTTATCATCATTTTCACTAAACACCAATGAGAATTTAAGTCTACTAATTAGAGCAGACCAACAGATCACTGCTGGAGACATTTTCAATGCCAACGATACTTCAAAGGTACTTCTGTTTCTGGCCAATCCAGTCCTTTGCATACTAAAGTGACCCAAAATGGTCAACTTTCAGGCTTCGACAGTAAGAGGGTCATGCAGCATTCATCATTAATAAGGGCAGCAATACAAGATGACTAAAATAAATTGACCCAAGTTTTTCTCGATTATACCATTTTGTTGTCATTCACAAAAATTCCTGCTGCTTAACACTTTATGGAATTAAATAAACAACTCACACGGAGGAGAAAATAGTATCCTAACTGACAGACAGATTTTTTGGAAAATCTTTCAAACCCTCATACTGTAGTTAGAGGAAGGAAAAACTGAACAACAGAGCAGACAGGGCACTTGATGTTAAAGCCATCCTGTGAGGTACCCCTCCACTTTTTTACCTCTGTTTTCTCACTCTGTGAACCAGTTCATTTGCAGTTACCTGTCACTGTCTCACAAACATTCAGGAATACCATCAGCTTTAAAGTTCATAGGCAGTAGCACAAGCAATGCAAATATGCTTGCCACCCTGCTGGCCAGCAGCCCAAACCCACACAGAGATGAACATACCAAAAAAAAATAAAAAAAAATTGTTCTGTCATGATAAAATTATTTCAGAACCCTGCATTCTACACATATATCAGCATATTACAGTTTATTATAAATCAGATAATTATTTTCTTTTCTATGCTCTATGTGGAAATGAAATTATTCTCTCTGGTATTAAAGATTTTTTCCAGCTTTACTTGATTCTGATAAATCAGATGATTTCTCCTGCAAGCACCCAGGCAATCAAAGGCATTGTCCTGCAGTTTATTATTATAAACAGTTTATTATTATAAACTATTGTACAGGCAGCACTTCTACCATTTCCTTATATTGTAGTCTCTCTAAATTAGTGGTTCTTTGTTATTGTTTTGTTGTTGTTGCTGTTTTGTTTTGTTTTTGTTTTTAAACTGCTGCCTACTTTTAGGCACTTTCCTAGTTAGAAGATTCTCCTGTATCACAAGGACATTAGACATAATTTTGACCACAGTGAAAAGGATGTATTCCAGGAATAAATACAGTGAAACAGTGAAGTCACACAAAAGATCTGCCTGTATGAGATCAGAAATAGACCCATCATTGTTGCTAATTAAATTGGCTTCGACTTGCATTGTCTTCTCTTACAAGGGAGGTGCTAGGCAAAATGCCCACGTGTGCCTTTATGTTTCAGGGTTGCCTTGAAGGATTTCTACCAGTTCCTGTGGAAAACATTAGTTAACCACAATAATAAGGAAGGCAGAGGCTGCAAACAAAAGCAGGTTGGGTTGATGAAGTTTTACCACTTGCATTTCAACTCAAAAATTTCAATCCCATCAGAGATTCATATTATAAATCAGTTTGGCAAACTATCAGGCTTTAAAATCAATTACACTAAATCAGAAGCCATGCTTACAGATAATGCATGAAGGGGCACCCTTGCACAGCAATGACCTTTTAAGCTGCCACAAGCCAGTTTCCACTACTTGGCAAAGTATCCTCCCACAATGCTAAGTGAATTATATTAAACCTATTTCAGTCTGTTATCGAGTATATAACGGGAGAGCACTGCTGAGGGAAAATCCTCTTATCCTTCTTTGGAAAGGAAAAACACAACCCACCTGACAAAGTTGTTGTTTAACCCATGTCTGTACTACACATCCCCTCCTCTTTAAGGAAGAGGTACAATAAAGAAACATGAAATTTTAATCCAAGCTTCCCTCGCAGTTTTAATACCAATAAATTACAAGTTTTCAAATAAAAACAGCAGCATACTGGGTGATCATCAGCCCGTGTAGAGAAGGGACCATTAGCAGATGATACTTAGGATAGCAAAAACTCAAAACTGATAAAAATTATAATCTGCACGACCTCGTGAAGCACCGTTAGTTTCATGAGAGATTATCTGATGATTCCCTGTCATTTCCATGGTACACAGGGATTTATAGCCCAGACAGAGACTGAGCACCACCCCTACAGAGCGTGATCTTTATGCTGACGCATGTGGCACAGCAAGCACTGAGGGGTGAGCGGGGAGAGCCAGGACAGCCAGAAACACAGCGGTAGGTTACTTGTCATATGCTCTGCTATATGCAGATGGTTCAGCAGTTTTGCAGGGCGACATTTTGCTGTTCTTAAAAATCAAGTCATCTGTGCCAGAGCTGTGCATGTCCCTGCCTTGAGCATGGGGAAAAGAGGTGAAGCACGGGGCACAGGGACTGATGGCAGAGTACCAGAGGTGGGGTGTTGAAAAGCAGGGCCCACAATAAGAGAGGACAGTTACAGCTCATATATGGATCACAGCAACAAATTGAACAAAAGAGAGCAGTAGTGCTAACTCATCCATAACTGCAGCGACAGGAACAAAATTTCTCACTAAAAAAAAAATAAATATATATATCAGCATGCAAACAGTGAGAAATTTTGTTCCTGTTTGTTGCCGGAGCAGTGCAGTGGGATGGCTTGTAGCACTGTGGAGAAGCATCACAGGCACCAGAACAAGGCCAGGCCCCCAGGCTGAGAAGGCCCAGGAGAACCTTGCTCACCATCACTCTTTTCTAGATTATACAGGGCTCCTGGAGAACTCCCTGCACCAGAGACCCACCAGGGGAAGTGCACACACAGACAAGCATTGAGGCCCAAGGGCTAGGGCAGATCTGCATGCTGAAGACCACAGGGAACAGCTGGCACTTTGCCATCCCCACCTTTGGGGGAATGGCTTCTGTTGGAGGTCTGTGTTTTGTCACTATGCCTGCGAGCAGCAGGCATCATCATCTACAAGCACGGAAGGAGATTAAGTCCTCACAGCAAACACACCTCTATAGGATGCCTCATATTCTTATTTAACTCTTTTCTTGGCTCAGCACAGCCTGTTGCACCAAGCACACACAGAAAGACAAATTGCCTATGCCAGAGATGGAGCAGCAGAACAATGGTAAGGGAAACATGAAGAGAGCAGGAGAGACACACTGAAGACACACGATCAATAAGGAGGATAAGAAAAGCAGCCAGACTTTGCAGTCCAGCCACTAAACCCTGCAGCTTCTCCTCTTGGCACCTTCAGTTTACTTTTCAGCTTTTAGACAGAAAAATGTGTTTATCTCTGTGCGGCTGGGAAACTGGTGAGCAAGAAATATGCCTGTCTGGCTACAGAAAGGCAGATGTATTATGCACCCTGAAGACAAGGCAGCCAGATGAATTGCAGCACCTCTGTCTCAGGCCGTGCAATCAGAGCAACTTGTTTGTGTGTGCAGGGGTAAGACTCAGGGAGTTTGAGGAAGCCTTTTTTCTTGATATCAAACATCATTTCTGTTTAGACTACAGGATAAAATCCTAACAGTGCTGCTAACTATCACTGTGTTTTGACAATCAGAATTCTGCTGTTTCGGGAGGCACTTTGAAAAAGGAAAAACTGAGACAAGAATCAATATTCAGTGCTGTATCAGTAACCCTCCATAAATACAGCTGTATGCAATAGCTCTGGCTTACTGCAGCAAGTAGAACAGACTTCAGCTTCTCGGGTGCCTCCAAGGCCATCGTGATGGCAATGCCAGTACTTACACCCAGCCTTTAGGTTCCCGTGGGTGACAGGAATCCTGCAAAGGTGAATTACTCAGTCTGCAGATCATTCATGAGCAAGCAGTAATGGAACTGAAGCGTGTCTTCTACCAGGGCTTTAAATCTATGCTGAATACAGCGTGCTCCTAGAAAGAGTGAGAAAAGAAAGTAAGGAGGAAAGGGTGGAGGGGAGAGGAGGAAAAAAAAAAAAAAAAAAAAAAAAAAAAACATCTTTTGTGTAGGTGGGAAATTAGCAATAACTGCGAAAGGGTTCTGGAAAAATTGGTAGATGACAAAGAATGACAGGGAAACACCTTAAGGTGCAGCTCAATCAACCACTTTTTACCAGGCATAACGAGAGGTTGTGCAAGATGTTTAAAGTTAAACTGAACAACAATTATAATGCTGGAGATGTTGCTTCCATTTCAAAACTAAACAAAAAAAGCAGAGGCAACCTTCATCTCCTTGCTATAGTCAAGGCTTTTCAAGATTTAGGATAGATCTGGGTCACCTCAGTAAGGGAGCTGTTGTACTTGTTCAGTCATCCCAGGCTTCCTTTGTTTTGTAGTTTCCCAGAGCAGAGCGGAGACATCATTGCCATTCCCATACCTGTCTCCCAGCTGTAAGGAGAAGAGACATTATCAGAGGAAAGCAGGCATGGCAGGGCATCCCTAGGACCAACTAATTTGAGCTTCTGACAACATAAATTAGCACAGTTTAAGTGAGAATGTGACCAGCCTGAATTTGTAGAGTACATCAAGCAGCAATTGTCCTATGTAGTCAAAGTCAATGGAAATGACAGATTAATAATTATTGCTGTATCCCATGCTTCAGTCATAAAGCAACCCACTAAATCTTGCTAAATTATCTGATTATACAGAATATCGTGTCACAGTTCACCATATGCTTTCTTTTGTATTTTAATGGTGGCACTATGCCTAACAGCATTCCCGGGTCCACCGATTTCACCTCTTCCCCTCACTCAAATCTCAGTTTTCCCATCCCAATTGCTTGATGTTTCCTTCCTTTTTTTTTATTTATTTTTATTTTTTTATTGTCTGAAGAATAGCATTTAAGGTTCATGACTGAATAGCCCACTGAGCAGCCTCATTAGGGGTAGTACCTGGCAGAATAACCGAATATAGTACATTTATAGTACATTGCTTCACATGCTGAAACCATTTGATCAGAGTTTGAATGTCTTTTTTTTTTTTCTGTAGGAAAAAGCCATTTCATCCAAACCTGCATGTTTTGTAAGCTGTCAGGCTATGACAAATATTTTGTTTAAAAATAAAGAACTAGCTTACTTCAGTCTCCCCTTTCTAATGGAATTTTGAGCTTGGGATGTGAAAATTGGAAGAAGGAAAAAAAAAAAAACAAAAAAAAAAACAGAAGTCGGAACAAAATGTTTCCGGTGTAAGAGAAAATGTCTTGATTGGCCTGAGTATTTAGTACTTGTGCCTAATCAGTATTATTTTTACTTTTTTTCGGAAAAGAGAGAACCTGATCAGCTCTTCTTAAAGTGACATACTCATAACACGGTTAGAGTGTCATCTGCAAATGTCATCTGCATTTTGGGACAATTTTTCCCATAGATAATCATTGTAGAAGATACTGACATTCTTGGCTTTTCTTCTGTCTTCACATTAATATAACTTCATTAATTAAAATCTTAGTCCTGCAATTTTAAGATCTTCATACACGGTTTGTGTGGCTTACACTCACAGAGAAAAGCATGGCTGATTAGCAAGTTGAAAACCAAAGAAATCAGAGAAGCATTTTTAGGGATCATGTTACTCATGGTGTCCAGTTCCAGGAGGATTCAGTAATATGAAGTCATATTTATTATTGCTCTAACACAAAAAGACCACCTGTAGCTAATTAATGACAGGTTCACACACTCCAAAGCATCCTGCCACTGATTCCCGAGGAAACCTTCGCATTAATCAGATCAAAGTAGTTATGATGCTAAAGAACTATCTGGTAACATCATGCAAGGCCTGGGAGAGTATTACTGCAGTCAGTGCTCACAGCTGCTAACACGGTGGAGGAGCCATCCCAGTGGGGCCCCGTGTAAGTGTGACTGATTTGCCAACCTCCACCTGACCTTGGCAGAGTATCACTGGGGTCACACGCAGCCTGCACAAACATACTGCTGGCACGAACAGCCCTGCTGTCTATCTGGCTTCCTGGGTAAGGTTTCTCCATATACTAAGAAAATACTTTAAACAACACTGTCAGGAGGAGGAAAGGGAGAGGGCAGGTGAGGCAGACAGCTCACCCAGTGCATGAATGAAGCTGCATCCTTCCTAGACAGGCTGCTTGCCATTACGTTGGCAAACTTGATACAAATACTCTTTACACCCTGAATAATTCAGCAGATGAATTTAACACCAAAACCTCTGGCAGCAGATCAGTCTGGGATTACATCATCAGTAAAGAGAATTAAGTGTGCCTTCATTTTCTGCAAGACAAAAATGTCCATCTGTTTCTCTTTGTTATTAATTTTTGCTTGTAAGTAGAATACAGTGCTATATGTTAATTAAATGCATATGACTGGCTAATAAATCTATTACAAACTACTCTCATGATGCCTGTCTCTTCATTAAGAAGAGACGGAGAACGTATAAGAGAAGGACATTTTACAATAAATCACAGATAGATGAGAACTAAGTTATGTAGAGCTCTGTAGCACTACAGAAAATGCCAGGGGCAAGAGGAATTCCACCAATATTTCAGTTTTCTATTATTTACCATTGTTCCCCGTGCAGCCTCACAGGAGGACATCTTCATCTCCCTTATTCTGCAAATATAAGCAGCAGCAATTTCCTCCCCCCTGCCAACAAGCACAGGGAGATAAAGCCAATCAGTGTTGCTACTAACATAATTCTGTGCACTGGTGAGTAAAGATGCATTAAGAAAACAAGAGAGCCAACACACCTTCCATGTTGTGCTGCCCCTTGGGTTTGAATGCTTTGCCCATGACCACACACTGCTGACCTGGGAATTGAGATAAGAACCTGAGAGGAATCAGGGACTGGACCTCTCATGTTAGCCATGCTGGTGTAACCCACTGCTGCTCGACACACTGAGGACCTGGCCATCATAGGGTCTGCCTGGTTTGGGCTATTGGTCAGGGGGGTAACTTGGAATAGAAGTGGAAGCAATTCTTAAAAGGTCAACAGACATTTGATAAAGTGTGTGTGTGGGGGGGGAACAAGAATAAAAAGCAACAACAACAAAACATTTATATTACAAGAGAATCCAAATAAAGTCTGATGCTTGCAAGAATTCCATGATTTTCTAACCAAATTAGGGAAAAAGTGTCTTTTATGGGCACTCTTTCAAGTCTTTATTACATATCACCATACGGTGTTACAGAAATTGGAAGGCAGTGCAGCTTCTGCTGGTATTGCAGATCTCAGTGATAGTTTTTCTTTACTAATATACTGATTTCAATAGAAAGAGTGATGAACTACCACAGACTATTCATTGTGACAATGTCTAGGAACATAGCACCTAAGAACAGGCAAAAAAAACAAGGTTATTAGCAAAGAAAAAAAGCATATTCTACAGCATATGTGGAAATAGAAAACATAGTAACACATTGCAAGTGATAAAACTACATACATTTTTAGTGGAACTGCTTTAAACAATATAAGTAAATAATTTCTTAGTGAAAAGATATATTAAAAAAAAAAAAAGAGAGAGAGAGAGAGAGAGAGAGACTTCATTTCAAACTGAAATGAATCCTGCACAGGATATTCAACTTTCACTTGAGGGAAATTAAAAAAAAAATCCCTAAACTTTTCTGAACCTCATGGAAAACAAAAGTTGTTGATATTTTGGCTCTTTATCACTTTCTGAAAGACTATTGGAGATAATCCACCACGGTAAACAAGCCCTTTCAGAGTTGAGGCCACCTCCCTCCCTCCCACTTCATAGTTCTCAGCCTTTTAAGTTATAAATTGTGTTCTTAGAAGTCGTAACTTGGTAGCACAGGAGTTAAGCAGATGAGTGAAAGTAATTAAGCAAATTACACAGTTTCTTGAGGAAAAAAGCTTAGCCTAATGGGAGTGCTCATCAGAGAGCTAATATTTAGATAGCAAAAGTTACAACTACACAGAAGAATAACAAATGAAGAGTAAAGTAACAGCACAATAATTAGTTGTATTCTAGCAATTACTTCAGAATTCCCTAAGAGGTAACATTGATTAAAGTTATTTTTATAAGTGTATTAGTAGTAAATCTTGGAAAAAAAAACTTGCCAGGTTTTTGTTGATGATTCAAGGGAACTAGAAAACTAGGGAAATCACATTTCATTTCTTAATGAAATGAGAAGAAAAATATACAGAAAGGGTACGAGACAGCAAACAGCAAATGAAGGAACAGATTAAGGCAAATAGAATTCTATATCATGTAGGCAATGCCAGAATATATTACATTATTTTTCCTCTTCCAAAGAATGAATTATAGCATATATGGGAAATGCCACCCTAGAAGCCCTGAGGTCACTTATCTATCCATTGCAGAAACAGGAGCAGAGGTTTTAGCAGCGCTTACTTCTATGTCCTGTCTCACCTGGGCATCCCAGTCATCACTCAGAGGGAAGGAAGAGTTCAGGCTCTTTGCCTTATTATTGGTCCTGCCCCCCAGATATGCAGACAACTGGACTCCGCACTCCCAAGAACATGTATATCTTGTCCAAAAGAAGAACAAATGGATGCCAATCCCAGATACCCTTTGAGCCTGCAGATGACAAAGCAGGAGAAATACATTATCCGTTCCACAGCAGGCAAAGACGCGTGCACTTAATATTTCTCACCTGAAAACTTTCAATTCAATGCCTGCTGTTGATCCTGCACTAATTTTGCGGAAGCTCATAAAATTACACCAGGGATCCATTTGGTTTTTCAGGTGGCTTATTTCCATGGTGAACATGCTGCTGTTTTCTTTGCCCTTTGAATACAATTACTGCAGTTCTCCTTGACTTTAAATCTCATTCTTTAGCACAAAGTGGACATCCAGCCTCTGATTTTTGCTTGGGCCTGTCCTGTCCTCCTCCTTGTCATACAGGTGATAGAAAAGTGCCACAGAAAGTCATAGATCAGCATAAGGAGGAGTTTTATCACCACATTCATCAGATCCCTCTCTGTCCACACACACCTGTGAGCAACGCATGTGGGGAGCAGCACTGATGCCCACTCAGAAATCACAGAATCATTTAGTTTCCTAAAGTCCATCAAGATTATCATGTCTGACCATCCACCTGACCTCCCAAGTCCCATCACTAAACCACGTTCCTTAGTCCTTCTGCTGAGGGCAGACCTGAGCTGACCACAGCCTCTGAGGTACAAAGCCTGGTCACAAAAGGAAAAGAGAAACCAGAACAGAGCCAGACAGGGGCACTGACCTTAGGGGAAATGTGAGTAGGAATGGGCAAAGTGACTCATCCCTCCAGGGTACTCCTTCCTCATCAAAACAACTGGGACAAAGCCAAATCTGGCCATGTTCATGCTCCTCCAACATAGGGCTCACCCGTTGGACAAGCAGACACCCTGCTCTTTGTCAAGCACCCTGGTGCTCCTCCACCTTACTAAGTTTTGGAAGAGTCTTGCTGTGACAATGGTGTGGTATTATCACCTTTTCTGCAGCACCATGTTGTGTAGGGTAAGTTTGTGTTGACAGATAGCTGAAAACACAGAGTGGTCACCAAGGCTGGAGGAGCTTACTGCTGCCCAGGCTTCCCCCAGTCCATCACTCTGATGCTGCAAACACACCCCGAGGTGAGACAGCACAGACCATCAGGGAACTTGGCCTGAAAGACGCCATCAGGAAGGGTCAGTGAGAACACACCCTCATGGGATCTGGGACAGCCCTTTGCAGAGTCCTTTTGCCTCCTTCCTCCTCAAATCCACACACTCACCAGCACTGAAATGGAACAACAAGTGCAGAATGAATGACACTGCTGAAGGCTCCTCTAATTGCACAATCCCTCCCTGCCAGCCCCCACAGGCTTCCTCTGTGGAAGAGGTCTGCAGTAAATTGTGTCACTATTTTTTGCTTCCTAGAGATTTAAGATCAGGCTTTTCTCTGATTTACATACCAGTCTAAAGCCATTAACCTCCAGAAAGCAAGTCCTTCATCTGCTGGTGCAAGCAAGAGCAGAATTAGGTCATATGGACACAGACTTTTTTTTTTTTGTATCAATGTGGAATGGCAAGAATATTTTACCTAAAATTTAAGCAGAAGCTCTCTATTCCCCCTACTGCTCTTACTTAATCAAGCACTCACATCAATGTCATAGAGCCCTGCAGTATAACCTGCAGCAATATGTAAGCTTTTGTTTGTCACATTTGCAGTCTAAATGTCCCTGCTACCCAGAATGTTGTTTTCCCTTGAACCACAAGGGCTCACAGCCTTCAGGGTGTTTTGTTGTTCTGCCTTCCCCTACCCATCTCTCTTTTTTTAAAACGTCTTAGTGCCAGAACAACATTAACTAACACCCATGCACTGCAGCCATGAACTGGCCCCTACCTCTCATTCTGCCTCTGCTTGCTGTCTAAATTCAGTTCTTCAGATGGTAATTTTATTTTTAAAGCACAAATGTTAGCAGCCTTATTGCATGCTTCTAGACAAAGGTGGTATTAGGAAACACGCACCCTCTCCCCTTTTTTACTCCCCTCCTTCAGCATACATCAGACTGTCCAGCCCTAATAATATTTTTTTCACCTATATCTCTAGTCCTGCTTATTTTTAAAAGGAAAACACCTGCTTATGTATTTTTCCTAACTCTCTGTTAAAAGCTCCTGCTCTTTACTTCCCCTGCAAAGGCCCACTGATGAAGACCAGTTTGTGGGGTGCTCTTGCTTGACGTTCCTCTGCTGCAGAGCACAACAGGCATGGCTTACAGAGCTCCACTTTACAGCAGTGTCTAGCAGTCATGCCACTTGATCTGCTAAGAGAAAAATCTAGAACACCAGAAGATTTGTTGTTTATGAAAGACCCTTTCATAAAAAGATGTGATTCAAATCTCCACACTTTCCAACACATTCAGAAAGTGAATGAATTACTTTTGCCTTGCATGCCTCAGTTTCCCAGTAGCTGAGAGAGCAAAGCAGCATAGTAAATGTAGAAAATATACAGCAAAAACCTTTCTCCCACCAGTCCTTACACCAGCCAAAAATAGTCTGGCTCCGGCATCCAGCTTTTAAAACTCCACTATAGACATTCTCATACCTGGAAGTTATCCACAGCAAAGTAAAGTCTCTAGCCACCTGCTTGCCAGCCTGTCATATTAACCTGTTTAGATGAAACACAGCTTCTTCTAGTGGCAGCTAAATAACTGTATTTGAGCAAAAAACCATCGGGCTACTAAAAGTGCAGAAGCCCAAGACAAATAGGCACTGCATGCTTAGCTCAGCGTATACAGCAACTCCAAATCGCTGCAGCCACACAGGTTAACTACAGGTACGCAGTAGACTTGCCTCATACAATTTTAAGACTGCTAGCATAGGCTGGCACAGAAACACTCTGAAAACAAATAAATAAAGGCCCAGAAGAATCAACCTATTGAATTCAACTGAAAGGGTTCAATCCCATTTAACTCCCTATCATTTATTTAGCTACTTCAACAACTATACTAAGAACAAGGTTCTGAAACCAAACAGCATTGTCAATACTTCCTCTAACCCACAGCAGCTAACAAAAGTACTACCTGCTGGTTTTTTTTTTTCCATCCTATATCCTCTTACTTAATTTTTTTTTTTTTTTTTCCCTTTCCAATCTTTAATACTCAGGTTTTTTTATCCTAGCTGGTTGGAGCTAATGAGACCCACCTGACCTGGCAGCTTGTGTGAGTCAGCAAAATGACTTTCCACCTCCTGACAAGGTCCAAGAGCTACAAATCTGTTATAAGGATAGGAAAACACTTCCCAGGTGCTCTGGGGATTAATTAGCATTTGGAAATCATGTTTGGAGATACTCATGCACGAAGTGCTAGCAAAGTGCCTGTTTTTATTCTTGTGACCCATAATCCTGGATTAGTTGAAGCAACTAGTCAAGCAATCAACAGAATTTGTCAATGATGAGGTAATGAGTTACAGCCAGTGACATTTCTAGGACAGAAAGAATGAATTTTCTAAACAATCAGTATGTACTGCATAGAGTGAATAATTTGTAATGAATAATGTATGCAGTTAATTTAGCCTCTTTGCCAGCTTGCAGAAAGTCCACAAACAGAAGGAGAATTTCCCGACCTTATTTCAGGAATTTAAAAAGGAAAAATGTATTTTACTCTATGGACTCATTCTGAGCACTTCTCTACTTCTGCTTATGATGTGCTGGCACCTTGTGAGAGAGAGGTTGATAAAAGGGAAGATACTTTGTCCCACCTGGAACGGAAGCTGGGAGAAGACATGACCATAAAATTCTCCATCCCTACAGTATGTTCAGTCTTCATACCAAAAAAAAAATGGTAAAATATTGACTTAGTGGGGTTTCTGTGTTGTATGCGTGCTTGTACCTAAATCATTATGGGATCTTGGCTGACAATAGCAGAACTACTTTCTAAATGAAGCCATGCATAAAACAAAGTCACTTTCCAATGGATGTTTCAGAAAAACATATTTAAGCCATTTCTTAGTTGAACCCATGGCTGGCCGGTTATTTTCCAATTTGGAACTTCAGCTTTTCCAACTTGGACTTCAGCTGGGATTGAAATAGACACAAACAGATGTATGGCATGCCAGATTCCTGTACCAGCACTGGAGGTTATTTTGCAGAACAGGAGATATGGTGGCTTCTTCTCTTTTTGCTAATCCTGAATGTCAAAGACCTCACCTGTTAGTGATGATCTCGGCACACTATAGCAAGGCATGTGTTTTAAATCAAGCATTTAAGAAAACTGTGCTCACTTGTAAAATAAAAAATAATATATTTTTTAAAAAAGCAAAAAGAGTCACACGAGATCAGAGGTGCCCATATTTTCCTTGATTTTTTAAGATTTCAAACTTTGGCTCAGCAGTACTGGGTTGTGAAGACCTTACACACAAGTATGAGGAAGGTTTCAGGTAACCTAGTGGCTAAAATGGGGGGTTAACAGATGAAAACAAAATCTTGCTTTGTCATTTTTAGGTAGAGTAAATTTGCCTTCCAACATTAAAATACATGGAATATGAATGGTAAGCAATAAAATGGTCGTTGTGTTGGTTCTTGCTGTCTGTACAGGTTGAGCTTGCAGGGCCTGGTACATTTTGTTTTCAGGAGGCTGATGACATCTGCCCCTGTGAGCTGGACTTGGATTCCCCTCTAATGCCCCTTAGAACTGTCATTTTTGGAAAATGTTTATTTAGAGGAAAACCAAGGAAGGGTGCATGTGTAAATGCTGCAAGGCTTAAATTATTTCAAAGAAAATTTAAGGCATTGCTTTAAAATGGCAAGAAATCAGCACAGAAAGGGGGAGAAAAAAAAGGTATTGAAAATGTAGACTGCAAAAGCTAATTTTGGAGGTGACCAGGAGATCAATGGAAAATGAAAGGTGTACATTTGTGAATCAAATTAATATATGAATGTGTAAAGCATGCCAACCTGATGTGGAGATGGATGTATATCCTTCTCTAAAACTACAACCAGTTCATCACTTCAACCTAAAGGGCTGCGTATTGAGTGCTGATTCATAAGGAGTCCACAGTTTGTGTGGGCTCTCACTGACAAGTACAAATTGTCAGCACATGAAAAAGAAACAGTTTAAGCATAATTTTAAGCACAGCCATCATTACTCCCTCTGTACACCTGGCACAGTTACCCAAAAGGATCTCAGCCAGCTTGTCTGCACCTTAGATAACACTGCAATAAAACTCAGTAGTCCAAAACTAATACAGAACTGGAATGACACAGACTAAAGGAAAGTTGTGGTTTATGTGCAAAGGGAACGCATTTCAGGGCAGAAGGGGAAAATAATATTAGCACTCACACCTGCTGCAATTTCCTTAGTTTGTTCATCACATTGCCTTGGTAAAACACACATCTATCTCCTTTCAATAAACTCAAGTTTTCTGTCATTATACGCTGAAGGCAGATTAGAAGCTGAGGCTCCATATAAATGTTTTTTTTTGTTTGTTTGTTTGTTTTTTGAGAAATTTGCAGCTAGGATTGCATCTTTCTGCATTGCGATGTCAGTGGAAATTTTCCTTTCCTTAGTAATATCATTAGTTTCTGTTTTACTAAATGATCCCAGGTGGCAGTGTATCAGCCAAAAGACAAAAATAGCTGTCATCAATAGCAATAGAGGGTCAGATTTTTTTTCCTTCCTGAGTGACTCTGCACTGTCATTATGCAGAATTTTCCTGGTTAAGCATGTAGAAATGCATAATTTATTTGAGTTAATTCTGGAAATTGAGGACAGAGCTGTAAGCACGGGAAATGCAGGAAGCAGCTGCATTTTGAGTCTTCACTTTGTAGGTCTCTACTTGTAGTAACTATACTGGGGCAGGAATAAAACAGGGGGAGGAAAAGTTAATTTTTAAGTTATTCCCTTCATCAGCTTGCTGGGGTAAATTAGAAGAGCCTTAGAGTTGTTAAACTCACATTTCTATAGAAAAGCCCATTGTTCATGGATGTTCAAGAAAATGTATATAAAATGGCCATTATGACTTTAAGCAGAAAATTATACCTGCAGCGGACAACATTTGTCAGCATTAAAAAGCCACCGGTCTCTCAGCTTCCTTTCCTTGGAAACTGCCATGGGGATGAGAAGGAAGGACTGGGCGGGGGAGGTCAGGGAAGAACAGCTGGGTGCTGTTTTTTGGCTGAAATCCTGCTGAGCATCCACCAAGGCCACAAGCAGGCTGCACGTAGATGTGCTCCCAAATTTTTGTGGCTGTTGCTCCCTTCCACCAGGCAGGTTTATTTCCCAAGGTCACCAAGGTGTGTTGCCAGAACAGGTTTCATTCCCATGGGTGCAGTCAGACATTCTTGGGAGATTCTCAGGCACATCTTGCATCCAGAAATAACCCTGACCTCTTTCAATATCTGAGCCACATAGCATTTTGTACTCCTAGTGCAATGATGACCATATGGAAGCACAGAGAGAGGAAAAAAAGTTACTCTCTACTTCCCATCAATGAGCAATGTTCAGTCACGTCCTGGGAAGCAGGACCTCGATACGCATAACAGTTGTTCAGGAGGGTGGGGTCTTCCACCACAAGAGCCCCCCTTTTATGGCTAAGTGTAACAACACCACATGGTATGGAATATCCCTTTGGTTGGTTTAGGTCAGCTGCCCTGGAGATGTCACCTCCCCATCACTTGCCCACCCCCAGCCTGCTGGCTCTTGGGGGCTTGGAGGGAGTCCTGCCGCTGTGCCAGCACTATGCAGCAACAGACACAACACTGGAGTGCTACCAGTGCTGTTTTAGCTATGAGTGCAGAGCACAGCACTGTGTGGGCTGATGCAGGGAAGGTAACTCCATCCCAGACAGACCCAGCACACTATCCTCAAATGCTAGCTCTCTTCTCCACTCAGGGACTGTCAAAGTGCCTTCATTTTACTTATTTCTGCACTTTCATTCTTCCAGATGCACCTCATCCAATAATTAGGAAGGTGCTTTTATTTCTTGTTAGCAGTCATCAGCTTTCACTGTGCTGCCATTAAATCTTCCCTTTCATTTACCTGCAAGCCCAGAAATTCTGTGCTTGTATCCAGTCCTTGCCCACATTCCTTTTTGTAAGAATAATACCTGTAACCACCAGTTTTACTGAAGAATCAACAACCCAGACGTACATGCTGTCCAGCTGCACTGGCAATCAATTGCTCATTACCATCAGCAATCAGTTACTCATTAAAATCACTGCATGTGGCATGGTCATAAGGACATTCAGTGTCCTAGCTTGTCCTTAATTCTGGTACCTTCTGAGAATGGTGATCAGCTGAAGACCACAGCATTGTCAAGATTCCTTTCTAAGAAGTCCTGGCTTCACAGGCAGCATAGAAGCAAGAGGCCACAGACATTCCCTTATTGCTATTTGCATTATTTTTTCTTCAGAGTTGACAAAGGTAGGGGCTCCTTATTCTCAGCCTTCCAGTCAACTTGTCTTAAAAGAAGTTTCCACTGATTTTGGATGGATTTATATGTCCTGGGGAAAATAAATAAATAAATAAAAACTGTCTTTCTCATGACTGCCTTGGTCATAATGAGTACTTCTTCACTGATGCTGATGACATTAAGAGGACAGAAAATCTCAGCTTATTCTAATATATGCTACATTTTCTTAGAATGTCAGCATACATTTTCTCCACCTTCCCATCTTCCTCCGTGGTCCAGTAAGCCCTGCAATACTCAAGACTGCAGATCATTTGGCTGACATATTCATTGGCTTTACACTGAAAAAACACCATTTATCTACTGGTTTGGCTCAGATGGCCTTCGCTCTAAGCCCACAGCAATGTTGGATTCATAGTAAAATACCTCATAATATCTTATGTCACTCAGCAGCCCTGTTTCTTTAAGCTGTGAAGTTATACTGGGAGAGGAGAGTGCTGCATGTATCTTTGGTTCTGTAACTGGGAGGCTTTTTCTGTGTCTCTGGGAGATCTGAAGACCTGCCAGGATCTTTGGCTTCAGCTCCCCACCAAGGAGTCCCTGTTATTCCTCAGACTTTCACAGCTACATTTTTCCCAGTTCTCTATTACCTTGGGAAATGGCAGGAGAGCTCTTCTATAGTGCATGAATTAGTGGGGTGATAGTGCAGTTTTAATTAGCGGAGGGTACTTACATATACGGTCTGTATACTCTGGAGGCACAGTCTGAATCACAAAGCAGTCCCTGTAGCAGACTTAACATTTTTCTATTGAACAGAAGTGAATCTTTTCCTCAAAAACAGGCTATTTCTCAACCGAGCACAGATATACATTGATGAGTTACAAGCTATTAGGAATTCAGAGAAGTTCCTAGCCCTACATCACGTTTTTTCTTTACCGAGCATTTTTAACTGCTTTTTTTCAATCAAATCTGTCAAAATGATGTTGCAGAGCCCACGGTAAAAGCAAAACGAGTGTGTGTGGCTTCTTTACTACAGTGTCATTGAACAGAAAGATCAATTTCTGTTTTGGCAGCCAGTTTTGTTCTCAGTGAAACCAGTGGAGAAATCTCACTGCTTTCAGTGTGGATTGGATCAGGCCTAAGGTGAACTCTCTACATCTCATTATGCAGTTCATTTAAGCAACAGGACTGGAGTAGCTTCTTTCACTGACTTTTAGGACACCAAAAATCAGTTTTGATTTTTTTTGATAAATTATCTGACTATTCCCAGAATACTGATCACAAGGAGAGGACAATACAATTCTTCCAGAGCTATAGGGAGCTTAACTGTAAGGAATTATCTATTCTCCATTGTACTCATTGCCACTGAAATTTTAGCTTACTTGGGACAGAGCCATACTTTTCTTCTTACATCTATGATTGAAAATGTCTGTAAGGCCAGATTCTTGACCTAAATCACAATGTTAAAGATGATCTACCTGTTATGTTTCTTCACATTGTTCCATTTAATCACCATCACCTTAACCGTGAACTGCTAATTTACAAAGTGGGATCACCCACTCCTTAGGTTTTGGGTACTTCATTGATGCAGCCTATAGGGTCAACTTTTCTACCCAGAATAGTGTAAATGTGCTTTGAGAAAGGCAGAAGGCATGAGACAGACAGGTGACAGCTTTTGATAAGGCTAAGACATGTGAGGACACAACAAAAGGGTCAGGATTGTTTTCCTTAGACTGGAAACAAGGAGGATATGCAACTAGGGTATATAAAATCATGTTCTATAGAGAAGATTAAAAAATATATACTAAATTGCTAACAAGGGACAAAAAGCCAGCAAATTATTCTTTTCAAAGAAGAAAGCTTTTATATAACATATCATTAACATGTAGAACTCATTGCCACAGACATGTCAAACTTCTATGACTCAAAATTGCATTATCCAGCTACAGTAGGTAGATTTAAGTGCAGACTGGATATATAACGCATCTTCAGCCCTTGTTGGTCTGGGAGTGAAAGGAAGGAGAAGATGAAGGGAAGTACACTGTCCCACAGCTTGGATGTTGGGGACAAGCTGTTATCTTCTGTCCTAAACTGAGAAGGAGGAGCTGACTGTTCTCCCACTGAAGCTATATCTTAGAATACAGAAATAAACAGTTTCAGGTAAGATTTCAAACCTCAATTTTCCAGCCTGAAGAGTCAGTTTTGACAGTGCTCATAGAGGAGCATAAAGAGAGGCTCAGAGTAGGACAGACTGTCAGCACATAGCATGTTTTAACAAATGCACACACAGCAAGACAAAATGTAGCTGGTAAAAACTGCATATGGAGGAAAAGCTGAATCCCTGACTATGGAAATGAAATAACTGGATGGGAGTGTAGATTCCTGGGAGCAGTGCTCACAACAGATCTTACATCAAGCCCTAGGCTGTGTCGGTCAGTAGTAATGTGTTTGTATTTACAGAATGCAGGCATAATTTTTAGAGAAGCTAAGAACTTGGATTTTAGGTAGATTTAGGTAGAAGTTTTGTAAAAACACAGTTGTAAATTTTATTTCAAAATATTATCCACCTTGGCTTACAGCTGGAGATACCAGATTCTGCATTGAATTTTTATAATCTGTAGTCAACAGGGACATTGCTTGTTTCCTCATTTTAGGTCCCCATCAACTGTGAAAGAAAACATTAACATCTCACTGTACCAAAATGATATTCATCCTTTATGCTTTCAAGAGAATAGTTGTCAACTTCTATGGACTCACGAGTAACTCAGCAACTTTCACCCCTGGTAATTAATTCAAAAGGATCAAGAGCTGTTTAAGAGCCATTAGCACTATTAGCTTCAATCCTGGTTTTTCACCAGGGAAAGTCTTCCAGAGAAAATTCAATGACACTTCCTACATTTTGACAGTAATTGTGATTTCCATATTTAAAAAATGAATCATTGCCACTCTCAGTAGTCCAAGGCTGGGAATCCACACAAAAGCAGAGAGGTACTTGGGATGCCCTGAATGTTTCAGTCTTCAGGGTTTCTGAAGAACTGTCTTCAAAGTGAAAAGCAGTGCACAGAGCTGGGGACAGCTGAACTGCCTGACACAGGCAGGGAAACCCAGTTCAGCACCTGCTGATTTCTCAGCCTGGCTCTGGGGCCAGCACCTTGCCTCTTCCCTCCAGTCACACAAGGTCCCCACGTTTGGAGTCAGGCAAAGCTCTATGCGGAGCAGGGAGGATACAGCCACAGCTGCACACCAGTGCTTCCCCAGCAGTCAGTGCAGATCCATACACTTGTCTCAGGTGCCATGTGAGTATGGAGGGCAAAACCAGAATGATGCCAGAGCTGGCAAAGCAAGCAAATAAGTTATTGCAGAATTCTGCACTGAAATTTGATTAGTAGCTCCTTCAGAGGCTGATGGCAAAAAAAGAGAGGAGTCTACTGAAGGACAAGGGAAAAGCAAGAGTTGAATCAAGGAGGCTTGCAGGCAGGTAATTCCAATTAAAACCACTATACTATACAGTATTCAAATTCCCATAAGGGAAAGAGGAAGAAGCTATATATTCCTTAGCTCTTACATTACCATATACCAGTCCCACTCACATGACTACAAGGAGAAACTTCACCAGTTAAGTCTCCAGCCATTTCACCATCTTTCCAGTCACATGTTCTTGAAGCACAGCTTGAAGGAAATGCACCTCATCACAAGGAACAGAATTGTCAGTCCCTTACCACAGATGTCTGTGAAGGCAGAACAACATAGATTTCATTTGTGCGTGCATTTTTGAACCTTATATGAGATACTGCAAACCATAAATAAACTTTTAATTTTTAAATATTAGCTGCAACCTTAGCTTTACACATGTAGAATAATGCAAGTTTGTTTGTTTGTCATATTGTAAAGGGCACACAGTACATATGAAAGCTATGTAATTATTAGTAGAGCAAATTATTCTTCAGCATTTGAAAAGGAGATACCAGTTTGATGCATTCAGAACAACATGAGTGGTAAGAATTTATAAGAATAGCAATTCTGTTTTTTCATGTCCAAAAACATTGTTTTTAGTCAGGCAGATATATATTATTTTTTTCAGATTAATAAATTGCAAAGGTTCACTGTACTATAAAATATCCGTTAGTTAGAATTAAGCATGGGAACATTTAGTAAATTAAGCATTGAATCACTGGTAATGCCACTGCCCAGAAATTTTCAGTGAAATATATTTTGACATCAAATGCCAACAGATTAAATTATAAAACATTTTGAGAAAAAAAAAAAATATATATATATATTATTTAAAGATTTAAACCTATATATATATACACACACACATATATATATATAGGTTTAAATCTTTTTGGCTTGGAATGAAAAAAAAAAATCCAGTTCAAATTGACTTTGCCTTAAAATGTAATTTTAGTAGGAAAAAAAAAGTAAAAAAAAAAAGTTAATTGGTAAAACTTACAACAAAACTGTCAGTCGACTTTAACTTCTTGCTTTTTCTTTTTAGATGATATTATAACTATTTTGCCATTTCCATCTTTCCACTATGCATCTGCATGAAAATTCCTTGTGGTACCAGAGGATACACTAAAATCTAGGTACCTAGGCATCCTATAGTTTTCTGACTATTGAACAAAATGGATTTTGAAGAAATGTTGCAAGCTGAACTCAAGAAACTGAAACAAAAGGCATTGGCTTTAGGTTATTAAAGAAGAGATAATGAAATCCTGCTCCCAATGAAGTGATTTTTAATGGGAATTTAATGGCACCTGAGGGAGCACACCCAAATGCTAACTTTAGCCTTGGGAGATAGATTAGTCTTCCTATGTTTCCTCTTCAGTTGGTTGGGAATGATAAGATCCTGCACTCAATCATCCCCTACAAGAGCTTAACTATAGCCTTTCTCCCTCCATTAGCTCTAACTTGTCTAGGAAAGCTGCCCTCTGTCAGTCGGTATCAGCATCATTTTACTCCTCTCTCACTGGGCCAGTTATGGATGAGCATATGCCTGCTGATTTCACCTGAGATGCTCTAGATACAGACACACAGACACACAGACACACACACAAAAAAAAAAAAAAAAAAAAAAAAAAAAAAAAAAGACCACTCATAGAATTAAGACTGGGATTCCTGCAGATTTCAGTTTTCTTAGCCTGTCCACACGTCGTCCCTGACTACTTGCTTGAACAAAGAAAGCTGACCACGTCTGAGAATTCGTGCTTTATTGTGATTTTTGCCCCCCAAATCCCTTTTGTGCAAGTGTAGCTGAACCTGGCACTGAGAGTGGAAAAGATCGATGGGTGCCTCTACTTCAGCAATTCACTTTTGTAATAGGAGCAGATCATTAGGTCAAAGCAGCTGGTGCTGTGGCTCTTCCCATCTCCCACACATTTGGTTCAGGGTTTCTTTTTTAAGACTAGATATAATCTGGTTGCATGTTCTGCATCTTACTAATCTAAAAGAGGAAATATATTGGTGCCTGGGGGTAAAATCCATTGTATTCCATAGAAGAAGGTTTTGAAGGGACCTTGAGTCAGAGTATAATTTATTTCAAATGTAAACTTCCTCCTCAGAGAAGAATGTCATGGGAAATTGTTCAGCTATGTCTGTGCTTCTTAAATAAGTGGCAGGCCAGCTGTAATAAATTGCTGGGCACTTCTTGCACTTCAAGAAGCTGTGCGGCTATTGGCATGACAATTCAAACCTGCTTTTAATAATTAATAAATAACTGATCTGCCAGGGAGTGCAGGCAGGAAGTCAAAATTAAGTGCTTCTAAACCACATTATGACAGGCGGCACCAGCATAGTCACAATTTTGCTGCAAAGATACAGCCTAACTGCACTTGCTTCCTTTTCTGCCATCACAGTCCAGTTGCTTTCCAAGCACAGCAACATCTAGGACATGGTCACCTATGATAATAAGATACCACGCAACTTCAAAATGTTTATGAAATTTTCAAGCCAAATCCAAGCTCTATGGGAAAGCTCAATCCTTTTCACTTGTATAGATGTGGAAATAAAACATGAACATCACCAAAATCGTATATACAGAAATCTTTTGTATCTCTGCTTGGAAGCTTCAAGTTTTAGTGGTGGGACTCAGTAGGTTGGGTTGATGGTTAGACTTGGTGATCTTGAAAGTGTTTTCCAACACAAATTTTTCTATGATTCAAATAAAATTGAAGAAGACAGCCTTTCCTACAGTGGTGTTCTCATCTGAAGGGCAGATTAACACGATTTCTCCTTCAGTAAATGTACGCCCTGAGACAACAAAGCATAATTAAGAAAGGTCTGTGGCAGGACTGATGCCATAAAGAGAAATTTTTCTGATAGTCCTGGCTAAAGAAAGACACAACTCTGGGATTTCAGGCACAGCCCCTGAAGAAACCCAACACCATACAAAAGCCAAGACCTCACTGCAGCTTTTGGCCATACTTTTTTAAATCCAGCTGTTTTAAATTATTTAAAAAGCATGTAAACAGTGTCACCCACATGTTATACATATAGGCCTTTTTTTAAAGAAAGTCAGTGAGGCAGGCTGTTCCTAATGTCTTTGTAGGCCCTTTCTGGACCTCCCTCCAGGACCAATGACTCTTAAGGGCAACCACTCCCTGAATGCTGCTCCTGTGGCCCAAGTGAACTGGTGGTGTGGCCATGCTGAGGCTCAAGAGCAAGGGGTGCTCTGCAAGAGAGGTGTAAGGATGCAAATTCATGGTGTGAGTAAGGGGACATCAACCCTGATGTTGGTAGACTCAGATCACCTCAGATATGGAGGAAGTGACAGCAACTCGAGGACCCCTGGAGATGCACTGTGGGGACTGCAGACACTCAGGTCTCATCCCCTGGTGTACCCAGGCTTCCTAACATGTCTGGATGGAACAGGCAGTGACCTGAGCCCCCACGGGGACATTGGCATCAATCTCATCAGGCAGGTGGCCAAAAACACTGCTTTACCCCCAGTTGAAGACATATCAGAAACAAGCACAAAAAATCACAAGGCAGCACCTCCCACTCCTATCTCCCAAAGACTATTCCTAATCTCTTCCTTACAATTCAGACGTTACTATCTTTAATTGTGCAATGTCTAGCTATCATAAATCTGGAGAGCCTTGTTACTAGACAGAAATCCTTCCCTTCTCCAATCCCACTGAGTGCCTGACCTCCCCAGCACCTTGCAGCAGAGAGTTCCATGGTTTTATTATCTCCTGTGTGAGAAAGGTTTTATTTGATCAGCCTGGAAATTGCTGCTTTTCAATTACTTGAGTATTTTTAGCCAGCAATGCTACAATAGACGGGATTTAATATATCTTTATCATACTCACCTTCATTGGTTCCCTTTCTAAGATGAACAGTCCTAGTACAAACTTTTTCATATGAAAGGTTTTCCAGGCCCCCAATCACTTTCATTGCCCCTCTGTGAATCTTGCCTAGTTTTCTTTAAGATAGAGTAGCTGTTAATGTTCATACATTTGAGGTAAGGCTGCATTATTTTTCTTGTTATTATCTTTTTACTCCTCATCTATCATGTAACATCTTGTTTGTTTTTCTGGGCTTCAGTGGCATACTAGCAAGGTCTAAGTGAGCAGTATATGGGGTACAAGCTCCCACCTCTAACCTTCTGTGGCTGATTTAAAACACTGTAAACTGTATAAACTTTAAAGAGTGTCTGAATTATCACAGCATTGTGAAGCTCCCGTTTGATATCAATGATTAGAACAAATCTTTTTGCAGTTTCTAAGTGTACTTTGCTCTTTTGGGGGTATTTCTGCAGCCCGTCACTCTTGAGGTGTGTAAAACATTTCCAGGTGTGGAACATGCCAAATGGGAGACATGTGGAAGGAAAGGTAGGCTCTCTAATGCAAAGAATGCAGTATAAAGAAATGGTAGCTTCCCATGACATAGGTATGTTTGGGCAGTGGTGGTGTAGCCAGGTACATCTGCATATACTTGGGACAACAAGAAGAGTTGTCCCCACTCAACAAGCTACTGTTATTAATTATTGTTATTATCTTTGTTATTATTGTTATTAAGAAAAGTAAAGTAAAATAAAATAAAATAATAAATGAAGTGCTTTAAAAAGCCATAGCACTGTGTGCACTGCCCTAGTCTTACCTGTTGTTATCAAAATTCTGGTAATCACCATACTATGTTTGCCCCAGGTTCTTTTGTATCCCCTGGAGCAAGAGCCAGGGAATAAATGGGCAGGCTGCTCAATAAACTTGCAGGTGACTGCATTATTATGCTGCCCATGGCCACAGAAATGAAGTCCAGAGCCCACAGCTTTGTATTCAGGACACTAACCCCTCCCAAGTGATACTCACATAGCTCACATATTTTGTATGAAGATATGAATGAAACAAATGTGTTGCCACCACAATCTAACGTAGCTGGGAGAGTATGAGACGAAAGGAAAAATGTAGGTTGGATATTTTTGTATTAACTCCAAACAGTAGCCATCTGGGAGAAATAATGAGGGTTTTTCCCAGCAACTCATCTCCTCCAGAACTAGTTTGACTCTCAGCTAGCTGATAAATGAGAACAAAGTTATTTATAGCTCAGTCATAAATGAGGTTCAAATTCATATCTGCTGCCAGTTTATAAGCCATGTACTTGTGTTCCACAAGCTAAAAAATCTGTTGTTTTTTTTTTTTCAAATTACCTGTATTCCTGAAGTAACAACCAGATCATCAATGGGACATTAGGTAGCATTTTCCTTCGAGCCAAGAGTAAACCTGAATTAAGAAATTTCAGGGAGACCTAGGCTAAGTACCTCCACAGTCAGCATATTAGGGTAAGTTCCATGGCTTTACAACTGCCAACAGGATGCCAGCACTTAACAAATGACAATATCTGGTGGGAACAGAGGGGATAACTGGAGTTGAAAGGAGAGTGTACAAGCATCTGCTTAATTCTTTGTTCACAGACCAGTCCTGATAACTGCCTTCTGCCCTTTCAGCTCAAGTTGTATGGGAAAGGAAGGAGGCCGTCTGTCTGTCAGACATCTATTTGGCCATTCTTTGTCTTGACTCCCTTTTCTTTCTCCTTCTTTTTCTTTTCTCAGGCAGTTGTGAGGATTTCTATCAGTACATGATAATCTCTTGGCAGCTGGTAATGAGCTGGGCTGGAACCAAACAATGTCAACAAGGTGAGAAGAAGAAAAATAGGAAGATTGTAGATTATATATGTGCAGTACCATAAAATGGTGCTCTGCACTCCCACAAAGACACATATACGCCCACATTGAGGAAGCTCACCATAAGAGGAGGCTTGTTTTACTGAAGAGGGAGGCTCGAAGGTCAGAAAGTCACAGAGCCAATCACCTGAGAGTGAAAATGGACTAAAAGTATTGCACAGAAGTTGGGAAGTCACTTGCATCATCTTTTCCATCCCTTTGCCAGTACTTAAGGGTACCAAAAACATTATTCCACTGCTTGCTACTCCCGCTGAAGGGAACTCCACATCCTCCTTGGGATTTCCTTGTAGAGGAACTACAGTGGCCTAAACGTCTTTGTGCTGAGCCTATGTGTAGTCCTTACCTGGCTGTGCAGGGAGAGAGAAGCACATGAAAACTCTGAATAGGAGCCAGTCCAGGAAAACCGGCCTCTCGCTATCACTGCTGCTAATGCTGGGATTCAGACAGTGCCCTGAAGAGAGGAGAGGAAATGAATTTTGGAGCTACTGTTTCTTCCTCACCTCTTCACTCTTTACTATTTGTATTGTGTCCAGGTTGTCGTCCACAGGCAAAACTGGACCTTGTGTCTGCCACTGGCATGTAACAGTGTATGTACACCACCTCTGAAAGGCAGGCTTCAGGAGATCAGAGGCCCTTGCAGGCCCAGGTTGAGTTCAGACACTGCAAGTCCTACCAGCTCTTGCAGCAAGAGATACCACGAAGGTGAACTGATATCCTAGTTTCTCTGGGGCAGCTCCAGGGTTGAAGTCCCTTGACTATGTGTCAAAAGAAATCCTCTGACATGTTATTTTGTCCCTGAGTT